ACTGTCCTGTCCTGTGAGGGCCAGCTGGGTAGGACTGATTGAACATGAAAACAGGAGCACAGCACAAAGTGTAATTACTGAAAATCTCTTTCAGTAATTACACCAAAGAAGTGTTTCTCCTTGAAGCCATTGTTAACAGTTTTCAGCACAGGAGACCTAACAAAGCACCAGCGAAGCTCCGCGACCCTCTGCTCCAAATATCACTGTGCACCATCGTTACCAGTCTTTTCACTCCTTTATCACAGCTGAGACGCTGTTTTGTAGACATATTCTGTATTTATGTGTGCGCTGTGGGCGTTCCCTGTGTATGTGTGTCATGTGTACTGTACATGTGTCCGTGTTGTCTGGGTCCTCGCTGCCCTTCCATCCAGATCGATGCTGCAGATTTGATCAAGCCTGTTGGGCTGCATGTGGAATGCCAACATTGTCATCAGGCACAGTAGGAACCAAATGGTGGTATCAGTGGGATTGATCCGGTCGACTCCACTGCAAGCACCCAATCCCGCAATCACAAGCCCCTCGAATCGAAGGCAATGATCCTCAGCTGGGACCCCCTGCTGGGAGGGAAGGAGGAGGAGGGCGCCGGTGGGCCTCGGTAATAGCAGAGGCAGGAGTGGGGTGAGGATGAGCATGGGAGGAGCAGAATCTTTAGCAGCCTGAAAATATCAAAGAAATCCAGGAAGGAGCTGCAAATGTTGGAGGAACAAGTTGGGATGTGGGCGGCACACTGCGTCCATTTGGGTCTTTGCCTGCTCCCAGCTGAGAGCAGATCAGATGCTGTCTTTGATATTTGTGTCCCAGTCGGACACAGAGACGGATTTATTATTACACCAGTTCATGTACCAGGATTCAAAGAACCACATCGTCCTGTGATTGTTGTGGGATTATAATTAAAGCGGCTTTAAAGCAAGAAAATTAGTTTTCATAGAGCACTTTGGGCGCCGTGATAAATTTACTGCTACATCACTGCTTTGCCTCCTTAAGGCTGTTAATAACTCCTCACGTTGCACTTATTATTTAATCAAACTGTGTGTGTGTGTGTGTGTGTGAGAGCAGCTATATATCTGTCCATCTGTGTACCCACCCTGGGTGTTCTGTTAGCCTTTTGTGTATTTCTGTGATATATACTCACCCACTGATTGTGTGTTTGTAGGTGTGTGTGTGTGTCTGTGCACAGGTCACGAACATGAAGTCCTGCATCCTTCCTAGTCACCATCCTAAAGCCTCTCCTTTCCTTGTCCTTCCACAGTGTTGCGAGGTCACAAACATCAGTGAAGGTCAGATAGATGTGCTGAAGTTTGAATCATTTGTGGGTCTTCGTATGTTGTAAACATGTATAGCTGTGTGTGCAGTGTGAGCATGCTCACAGCCCATTACGTGCTAATATGTATCTAACAATACACGACTCCAAAGTGTGTGTGTGTGCACGAGTGTGTGTTCTGTGGCCAGCAGGACCAGATTTTGACCTGTGACCCTCCCTGCAGGTCTGGACCTGGATTAAAGGCCTAATCTCTTACCTGTCACTTTACACACCACTGCACATGTCTATAAAGGCTCTGGCAGCCAGGACGCAAACCCCCACGCACGCATGCACACATATAAACGTGCACAAAAACCCACATTTTTAAACCCATGCACACACAAATGCTATATGCACAGACGCTATTTCAAAAATACATTTTAAAAAAATCGTTGCACAAAAACAGGCTGCGAGTGCAAAGCGATGCACGCGCACACGTCTTACCCAGTGTGTACAGCGGCATCCCGCTGAGCTGAACATGCTGAAGGTGTAGCACTGTGAGCCGGCTGCTCCGCAGCGCTTTAGACAGAGCCTGGACAGGATAGTCGACCAAGGCCACATTGCAGACATCCAGTCTGTAGAGACACACACTCTGAAACACACACACAGACAGAGTGAATACAGACAACTGCAGAAAAAAGACTCGTCAGAATGTCTGATCTGACCAAGAGTAGAAAAGAAGAGGATGAATATTGAAAGAAAGAGCTTCACCAGCTGCTGTCAAACACTCAGACCTGTGGAAAGACAAGTGGAGAAGGTGCTTCTAAGGACTCGCACTCGAACAGTGGACTGACCTGTCTGTCCTCCCTGACATCAAACGCTGGGAAAAAACCCGGAGAAAGAACAACCCTGAGTGACAGGGAGGTTAGGTCCATGCTGCTGGAGGATATGGAGAGCTGTTGGGGCTATGGGTGTCTCGGCCAAGCTTATCAAAGTAGTAGATCTCAAAAATGAGAAAAGCTTACATTTTTTCATAAGTTATTCAAAAAGCTAAACATTTTCATTGCATAGAAAATGATTTTTTACTTGTTACATTTTGGTGATTATGATTTATAGTTCATGAAAATCTCAAATTATCAGGAAATTTAGTTTCTACTGTGAGTAAAGTATTCCCAAATACGTTGTCTAGTTCAGTACACGCAACCACAATCATGGGGAAGCCTGCTGACCTGTCACTAGACGATAATTGACACCCTCTGTAAGGTCAAAGGTCATTGCTGGAAAGGCCGGCTGCTCACTGAGTGCTGTTTGGAAAACTGCTAACGGAAAGTTGATTGGAAGGAAACTGAACAAGCAACAATAAATGTTCATTGAAACCACTGGAGGGCTTCACAAAGAGTGGACCAAGGCTGGCGCCCACACAGACCCTGAGATGAAAGCCCTGATATTAAAACTAAAAGTGAAACTATAAATAATTATTAAGTCATAATTGTAGCAAAATGAACCAAACACTTAAACAAAGCTAATGCAGAGATATGTTAACCCTTCCACAGCATGTCTTTATCCTGTCTTCCTTCTCTCACCCCAACCAATCACAGCAGATGGCCCCGCCCCTCCCTGAGCCTGGTTCTGCTGGAGGTTTCTTCCTGTTAAAAGGGAGTTTTTCCTTCCCACTGTCACCAAAGTGCTGCTCATACGGGGTCACATGATGGTTGGGTTTTTCTCTGTATCTATTATTGTAGGATCTACCGTATGATATAAATAAAACTGAACTGTTCCTTCCAGTGCTCGTCATATTTTCAGTTTTTTGCCTTCATTTCATTTGAATTCTAACACAAAACTATAAATATTTATACTGTTGTGACCATAGTCAGTGAGATCCACTGTTATTGCCACAACATGTGCCAGAGCTCTTACCAAGCCGTGGCTTAAAATGCAGCAGCACTAAAGAAGCTTCGACAGTCCTTTGGTCTTTACGTGAACTCAAAGTCAAATTTCTCATTCTGTCCCTCCCTGATGATATTAATCTAACAGTCACTTAACCCTCAGAGCTAACGAGCTATGCCTGCTAATGCTAGTTGTGATAATCCAGCGTTTGTGTTGATGTTCATAGCAGAACTTCTCACCCGATTTGCTCTGCCCTGCATCTTCAGTCCCGGTAATGTGCCACAAACTCACTTTGCAGGATGTACATTATCCCTGGGAGATAGCCTACATGAAAAGATTGCTATTCCACTGCGTCAGCCAACCTGCTTTATCAAATGAGCGAGGGCCCTCCAACTCGATGTTCCCATACTGCTGTTGTCAGAAATGTCAAGATGTGTTGTAGATTCATAGTACAAAATCATATCCAACAAGGACGATGCTCCCTGGAATAGAAAAAAAAGCAGAGGGAAAAAAAATAAAGAAAGCAGGGCCCCAAATTTGACAGGAATGTTATGAAGTTTCTTTGGAAGGAAAAAAATAGCCTCTAATCTGATACAAGCGAAGGCCTGAATATGAAACTGTATTGCAACTGCAAGATGAAGATGAGCAAAATAAGTTTTGCTCATAAAACTCACATTTTCTTCCAGTTGGGCTGCCTGCAGATTGATGAAATCAAAGTGCAGCGATTTCAGGACGACTTCCAGAGCTTCACAGGAGCGGTGCTCTAATCGCTCACCTTGATGGAGGCAAGCAATCAAAGGGAAGATAATTGGGAGGCTGTTTGCTAACAGGCAAAATTGCACTACTCTAAATGTGCTTTATCCTTTTTTCTGAAATGAACATTTCAGCAAAAATCACGACAAAACAACTTCCCTTATAAGCAAAGTTTATCTGCGTGTGTTTTCTTTTAATAAAGTTCTGAGAGTTAATCAGAAACACAGAAAGAGAAATAACGATGACAGCTCCAGTCTTTCATGATTGGACTTCCAAGATGTGAATGTTGGAGGGGCCATTGATTACTGTCTGCCTGCAAACCATCGTAATCAATAATACAGCACCTCAACTTCTGAAGCTGCTAAATGTAGTCTGATTACTTTACCTGCACACTGAATGTGAAATGAACAGTTTAGCGGTATATAACAGCAATATACATATAACATCTAAACTGGCAACGTATCCTTTGTGCCAGAACCCAGTGCTGAATTACAACCAATACATTTAATTATGTTTTTATAATTTACTGGAGGAATTCATGTTGATGCCACTTTATACTCATAACATCACACAGAGAAGACATGTCGTAATAATGACATTCAAATTATTTCTGTTTTGTTCATATACCACAACTACAAACCAGTAGTCATCTCCAGAAGCTTCATATAATAGAAACCATCACAATCAAATGATAAAACTGGTGCAACATAAGCGAGCAGTGGAAAATCTGCCAAATCTGTAAGAGACTCAGTGATGGGCACACCTCTGCAGGAACTGGTGTCATAAACATGCAACAGCAGAGTGTGGTTTGTTTTGGGTAAATTAAATCCAAATTCACATTTTAGCTGCAGTGTTAAGATGTAGTTGTTATTCATTGCTCCTGTCCGTGTAAAACTTCAGAACTCATTTATTTTATTTTGGTAAAACACTCAACAACAACATTTCCTTCAAAATGACTTAATTAATACCATGTTCCATCTGTTGTGTTTTGTTTGTGGGCAAAGGAGATGCAATACAAAACATGTTTAATGCTATTTTGAAATGCTGAGGCATGTAACGACTGATAAAATGCTCCTATTCCAGTCAGAGAGGTTATACGCAACACATGTTAGAACCAAGGTGAGTAGGTACACGAGTCAGTACATGAGCACAGCTCATAAACGGTACTGGAGATAACACCAGTAACTGGTTGATACAGCTGTACACGAGACGGCAACCGAACAGCGTACGAGTCAGTTTCCTGCACGCTGATAATGTTCACCAGGAACCCAAAGGGAACGTAGAAGAAAACACGGCCAACTCCCAAAGTTACCATCAAGTGTTCTCCACAGGCCTCAACCTCTTAATCCAGCTTATCATTAGGAGCAGATACAGGACAGATCCCACAGTGGAGCGAACGCAAGCCTCCTCCTGTGCATGCATAAAGCTGCAGACTCACTGATCTACCTCACTCAGATCTGCAGAGAAGAGTGGATGTGAAGTCAAATGGTTACAAAGATGATGCAGAGACATGGAGCTGCAACAAGGCACAATAATAGATTTATAAAACAACTACATGGACAAAAGGTCAGCAGGACTTTAATAGAAGGCAGCCACAGCCAAGAACCTGCAGAAGGTAAGCAGGACTAATAAGCTGGTCTTAGTGGCTAGAAAAGGCTAGTTGCAGACTATGCAAAGGTGCCTGGAGACTATCCAACACATAGTAGAAGGTTTAAGTTGGGACTGCGTACACTGAGAGGTACAGCCATGTGGCAGGGATAGTGTACAGGAAAACCTGTGCATAGCATGGACCCAAGTCCCCAAGTCCCGATGGGACCCGGCCCACGTAGACTGAGAAGGGCGGGTCCTCCGAAGGATGCGGCCTACGTTTTGGGACACAGCTAGTTACTGCGATAGATGACATCAGCTAAGTAGCTAGTAGTAATTATGACAGATGTTTTAAGGCTGTCAAACCCGTCACTACACACTTTATAGAGTTCTCTCAGACAGGCATGAACATTTTCACTTTTCTCTCTTGTTTAAACTCTCAAAGTTCAAACTTTCGTAGAAAAATAAGTCCACTGTTACAGAATGAAACCAAAGGCACCCGCAGACGTTTCATCGACATCGTTGTTTGTTGGGGAGAAAACGTACAAACATACAGTGAAGCACTTCAGAGTCACACTGCTAGGATTGAAGGTTTGTTTAAATTTGACAAGCTGAACGCTTCTGTACTGTACAGGAGACAATGATCTACAGCCAATCAGGACGCAGAACACAATGCGCTGTAAAAACCACGTTATAGCGAGGGACCGCTGTACACGTGGCTGGGATTTTAGTTTTAAATGAAAACATAAAATCTTTGCATTCGTAGCCTAAGCATGTGTGATTTGTGACTGTCATTAATTAATTAATTAATCATTAATTCCACTCACAGTATCAATGAATTAATACAGACACCATATTTTACACTGAAATATGAAATATGAGGGTTCACATTTAGAAAAGTGCTTTTCTGATTTTTGTCACTAATCCCTGTTTCTTAGTGTTTGTTGGGATTATCGAGAAAACAGGCAAATACAGAGGAACTAAGATCACGTCTCCATCAGTTCAAACTGTTCCACTGTTACTGCGTCGCTGCAGGCTTCAGTACGCGTGTCGCGTGTAACTGCAGCACGTGTTGTCAAATTAATAAAGGTATTTTCTTAATTTTCAGAGCGCTGAGCTCTTTAGGCCATTGTAGGGTTTGATGTTACCACTTTGTAATCTGATTACTGTAGGAAGTCACTCCAGCCTGCTCAGAAGTCACACTCCACATTAAGCTGTGACTGATCAGGCAAATTCATGTGACTTTTAAGACTCTTAGTCTCCCCCCTTTGCTCTATCTCCTGGGTTCATTCTTATCTCCCCGGCCAAGAAGGGGGAACGATAATTACTATCATAATTATTTCCAAAATGATTTTTCCCCTCTGTTTTAACAATAATCACCTAACTGAGCGATGGCAGAGGGCGTGTGGGGTTGAAGGGAGAGCCATCTGAAATCCCATTTTTTCTAATCCGCCCTGCGTCGGAAAGATAATAAGGCAGCAGCACCCGCAGTCAGATGTCATCAGTGCGTGACGACAGTGACGCCCATCATGGCATCACGCACAAGTTTACACTGCTGCTGTATGCAGATGTGGCTCCCGCTCTCCATATTAGCACGTTTAAAGACCTCGAACAGGAGAAGAGCGCCCAGTTTGATTTAAAACTTCAGCCAGTTATTAAAATCACCGGCCGACAGACTGAGGGGAGACGCGGACTCTTCTGGACGTGGATTCGTTTCATTTAGAGCTAAACTGTACTTTAATCAACAGGACTAGATTGTGTTTAAATTCAGTTGATGATAACGATTTGATATTTGTGTTAGGTCAAGCTTAGCCTCTCCACCAGGAAACAGACGACCCAGCCACGGTTAGGGTTTAGTTAACATCCATTTATTTCATCTTTGTCTGGTTGTTCCCACAGTGTCAGCATATAAACTGCACTGCAGAGCGGTATGGGTTCAAGGCTAAGTTGTGACCCAGGATTAATTTATGTCTATTATTATAAATCAAATGTTATATTTAGTATTATTTCAGGAAACAGCATTAAGATCATGACCAGGGTTTGGAGGACTTGCAGCTCTACCTTGGTGCTACAAGCAAAACTTGGAGACCAGATCTGAACTGAGCTCAGGTGAACATCTTTACCAGCGCACCAGGATTTAGGTTCAGTTGCATTTTGTCGCCGTGCTGAAAAGTATTTGAGAAACAGGAAGCTGCTGTCTTTAAGCGCCTTGAGGCGACTTTTGTTGTGATTTGGCGCTATATAAATAAAATTGAATTGAATTGAATTGAATTTAACATGCACTCTCTGTATGTTGGCCATCATTTGGAGCAGTCTGACTGAATCATCCACAGGCTGATGGCTCTTTGCTTCTCTGTGTGTCTCTGCATTTCTAATGGAAACGTAAAAAGTGAAGAGAGGAGAGAAACATGCTTAACCTGCAGAGTGCTCTGCAGCTCGCCTGTTAGCATCACGTGTGTGGGAAGATCACAAGTATAGAAACCAGCCAATCGGAGCTAAGTCAGAATGTGCATGTAAATAACTGCACACATCAGACCTTAGGCTAACCTGTTTATAGTTTGTGTGTCTGGATAACTGTTGGCTGGTTTCTAGCTAACAGGTTTGGTTAGTCACAGGACTACATGTGTGACTAACCATAGTGCTTCTAACATGGGCAAACCACCCTAACCCTACCTCTGACCCTACACATGCACACCAACGGTCTCTGAATCACACATCAGCTCTGTTCAGTGTTTCAATCTGATGTTGGTTTGAAAACCATATAAAACTAATCACCTCAAAGAGTCCACAGCTTCTGGTAAACTGGATTGTTTGGTCAGCAGATTGCAGAAACATTACAAAATGACCGGGTGCAGCATGAAGTCACAGTCATGCTTAATAATGACAGAGTGAGGGGCTCGTCTTACCTTTGAGATCCAGACACGCCAAGCTGCCACCTACATGCACGCCCTGCTGACAGACACAGAGAGGAGGAAGCTGGAGACGTGACAAAGAATGTGCACACATGCACACACACGCACACCAACGCACACATGCACGCACACACACAGATCTGGCACCGGCAGCGCACCCTCCACCCTCCCCGGCCTTTTTCCGTACGGCCTCGCCATCCACGCCACGCTATGCTGGTGTGATCGGGGAGCTTATTGGATGCCACGGTATGAATTATGAATTTCACACAGTTTACCGCCACCGTTGATGGTGACACAGCGTCCTAATTAACCAGTGTATAATAATTAGAAACAGCTGGTCATCAGTTGATGTGTTCATTTTCAGAGCCAGTGTTCCACATACATCTAATTTGACTGCATCAATCACTGGAGGTGGCAGATTTGTGCAGCGAGTGGGAAACACGCTTTTTTATTTTTGCCCTGACAAGCAAAACAAGGAACAGCGACTGTGGATTGATGAACATCGCTTACAGGAGGTCGTTCAGGGTAATGTGTACCTCAGGTCTCTGGTGTTTCAAAGACCAGAGATGGTTTGTATCAGTCACATGTTGCTCTGATTATTTCCTGGCTATTTTTGCTTTAAAAATGTCTCATTTGAATGAATATCTGCAGAAAACATTACATAGTGGAGGCTTTAATGATGGCCCCACATCCACCAGGGGGCCCCAAACGTGAGCAAATTAAAAATGTGCATGGTCTTTGGTCCCGTCAGCTCATTTGTGCTGTTACTGGCTGCACAGAGCCCGTGTTCAGCTAGTTTCTCTCTTCTCATCAACAAAAAGCAGATTGCAGTGCGGGGTGCCCAGTTGTGCTCAAGGCCCCGTAAAGCCTTGCCCAGCCCCTGTCACCTCTCTCATCCCCACGTGTCAGTCAAAGGCGTCCTGACTAACCCCCCCCCTCTGCGTCGACTCATCTCTGCTGGCTCGCTGAATTGCCACCTTCTTCTCTTTTCCAAGCGGCGCCTCGTTTCCTTTCTCGTTGCTAAATACGATTCATTGTTCAAAGAGACACGTGGAGCACAAAAGGACTTGGAAGGCTTTCCTCGCTCGCCTCCACCGCCGCACAGAAGAGAGCAAGGCGGGAGACAAAGGACGACAGCCATAATGTGCTCCCGTTGAAGGAATTAGGCAGATCAATGGGACACAAACTGTTTGTGTGTGCGAGAGGCTGATGTGTAATTGTAGAGGTGGTTGAATTTATCCCTGGAATTATCTTAACTGAGACGCTCACACTCAAGAACAAACGTGTTTACAGACACATACATGCTAATATTATACACACATGTATGTGCTGTTCAGGTGGAGGAGGATCTGACTGAGCTGTAGTATCATATATATGTTAGAAACACCAAAGCAACAGGATTCATGGGCGTGTTTGACATTTTTCTCAAGCGCTTTTATCCATTTTAAGCATCTTATTTTTTGGACAACGATTAGGCTCCTTTGATGATATTAAAAGAATAAAATGACCCCTCCCCCATCACTCACATGTTGGTTGTTTTCTTTGCTGCCTGCAGCCAACAATAAAGGTAAAAAGAAAAAAGCGGCAGCTACAGAGTCCACATGCTGTGTGCTTCTTTATGCATGAAACATCTGGATATGTGTTCATATGTTACTGTCTCCTATTTCTGTCTTTCACCTTAAACTTGGCTGACAGGTTAGAAACCTTGTTGTATAAAAAGCTACTTACAGCTGCTGCTTTTCACTGATTTCTTTGATGTTTTTGAGCTTTTTTTTTTTTTAAATAAAACTATTATGTACATTAAGTCACTTTAAATATGAGTATTTACTGCAGTCTGGACTTTAATGATCCAGACTGCAGAGCTGCTATAATAATGATATTATTCAAATATTCTTCCTATCAGACGAGCACGTTCTGTTTGTGCTCACAGCTCTGGTCACTTGTTATTGACCATCGCCGTGGCAGCAGAGACTGGAGTGTGATTGGCTCTGCTCATCGAAGGATTATAAAATAAATAAAAATAAATAATGAACACTACTCCAATATTTGTGCATTTACACGAGCCTGAAAACAGTGAAAGCCAGGTTCAGTTTGGGGGCCGAGGACGAGCTTGTTTACCCCCAGACGGGTTAATCTCAGATCTGATTGGTGGATTCTTCTCTCCTACCAGTCACCATCTAAACCCACATGAACGATCCCAGCATGTCGCCGCTGACAGCTCACTCAGGTTATCAGGCTGATCGTTATTCTTAATCATTTATATGAAAATAAATAGTTTTTTCCAGCACTCGTTCACCTGCCCACAGGTGACGCCTCTGCCAGTTATTGATTACCATGTGATTCACTGCATATATCTGACAGGTAACAGGTTTCTGTGCTGTGAGTCCATTTTTGGAGAAGATCGTCGGAGCACGAGGACAGGTCAGAGTTGTTGCTCATTTTATGCACATATTTAAATCACCTGAGACTTTTTGAATTTGTCACAAAACAAAAAGTCGTTCTTTTGCTTTTTCCTTTCTTTCGTGGCACCAAGCCAACACGTGGAGAACGCTGACTCTGTGTCCCACACACACACTGCACGTCCTCACACAGAGAGCAGCAGCAGCTGTTTTTCATCCTAATGAATTTCTGAACTTGTTCGTTTCTCTGCTCGTGCTGAAGGAGACGAGAGGAGAGGAGACGAGAGGAGAGGAGA